TGGCTCTGGGATAGGGATGGTTGTGTTGTACTTAAAAGTACTGCATGGGATTTTTCGGGGGAAAAGGCAAAATGCCACATTTATTGGTAATACATACATATAGCAGTCAACACTTATATGCATATAATACAGTGCACACAGGCACACACCCACCATGTCTTGTTTTTATCAATAGTTGTTCCACCTAACTGCTGGCCAGATGGCTCTGGGATAGGGATGGTTGTGTTGTACTTAAAAGTACTGCATGGGATTTTTCGGGGGAAAAGGCAAAATGCCACATTTATTGGTAATACATACATATAGCAGTCAACACTTATATGCATATAATACAGTGCACACAGGCACACACCCACCATGTCTTGTTTTTATCAATAGTTGTTCCACCTAACTGCTGGCCAGATTAGTTAGGTCGGGGAGGGTTGGAGCTGGATCAATGCTCCCATGTTGACTGCAAGATGCCTTAGATGTATAGTGTCTTCCCTCTCAGGCAGAGAGTCATCATATACATATGCATTTACTGGTCTAAGGCACCTTCTTCTGGGTGTTTTTAATGCTCCCCCATTCACCTTCAAAGAGGGACCGTCCAAAAGCAGGTGTTTGCTGCTTCCTCCCGAGGCATCCATAAGTCTAGTCTTCTTTCAGTGAACCCACTTCACAGGTCCCATGGTTCTTATTGTTCTTGAATCTGGCTTCCACCTTTCTCCAACCATCGTACCCTCAGTCAATAAGGGCACCTTTGCCTTTGAAATGTAGCAAAAGCCCTCATGTGGAAGTGTGATTGTCATAAGCATAGGCCCTTGGGAGGGACGGCAAAGTTAAAAATCAAGTAAATGTATTAAAAACCTTTGCTCTTCCCCGAATCCCATCCTGTGGCTGCCAGCAGCCTTCTGTCTCCCCCCAGCCTCTCCCCCCGCCCAGCCACAAGGGACCTTTTCACTCCCTTTCCCTGCAGTGCTGCACCCAAGGGCAGGGGGGCTACTTACTCAGTCTGGTGGCAGGCAAGATGGTGAACTCCTGTCCTGTTGGCCACTCTCTTTGTGGTGTGGTTTCAGTATAGCCTTTCCCCTGTGCTCACTGCCCCCAGTGACCACTCTCAGCATCGTGTTCCTCCTTTGTCTCACCTCCCTTTCCAACAGTCCCAGGCTGAGCCTGACCCTTTGGCACCCTCTATCTCTCTGGCAGCATTGCCTTCTCATATGTCCCTTTCCACTGGCCACAGGACTCCAACAGTTTGGCTTAGCCCTTCCCTCAGGACTAGCCTGATCCTTGAAGGTTCCAATTGACTCCTGCTGTGCTTTGCAGCACCTTTTATAGGCCTTCCTGGCCCCTGATTGGCTGGTTCCTCCACAGCCTCTCTAGCTTCTTGCTCTATGTCCTTTCTTGTCCTCAAGGGCTGATCTGCCCCGTCCCATATGCTCTTTGGCAAGATAGGAACATGTCTATCACTCCACCAGTTAGGGAACCCTATCACGGAAAAGCCATCCACTATGTCCTGCATAGTTCCCAGAATCACTAACCTTTATAGTGGAAGGGTATTGACCGCCTTGGCTACTTGGGTCACAACAATCCCCACTGTAGATTTCCCTACTCCAAATAGATTCCCAACTGACTGGGGCTATTGCCATGTGCTTCTTCCATGGTCAGAACAGGTCTCATTCTGGTATTCCTGTATATATAAAGCCACCCTTGTTTTGTGGTATAAGGAATTAAAGTACTATTTGATATTATCAAGCCAACAGGCATTTTAGCAGAAAATTAAAACAATGTTTTATTCTGAAAACAAGTAATATTTATTTTCTTCTGAAGTGTTATAATGGAACAATGCCATTAAAATAATAGCAAATTTAAGTCACTATTTAGTTAAATATAGCTGCAGTTCTAATATTCTTTGTAAATTTTGTCTTAGTCATTCTTTTCTGTGTACCTCTATAGATATATAGATGTATTGTTGTGATTAACTGTCAATTACATATCTATCACCTGAAATTTCAGGTTGTCACTGAATGGATTTTACAGCTCTTCTGGCCTGCTGTCATTAGGAACGAGTGTTATGAAAACAAAAATCATTGAGTCCAGTATATACAATATAACAGCCTCTAGACAAAGGACTATAAAACAGTTGATGTTTTGTAATTTTGGGGGAAACTTCCTGGTATCAGTGAAGTCAATGATAACACTCCCTCTGACTTCAAAAGGAGCAGGATTGGGACCGTATATGGAATGTTCCAAACTTCAATATCCAATCAAAAGTTTAACTGGCACAAAAAATAACAGCTGATTATAGTGGGAAAGTTATTTAATCTAAGAAAAACTTTTAAAAATAAGCCACATTACAGTGGCTTTCTTCATTACTAGATCTCTGAAGAGATTCTTGCTGTAGAATTGGATGAATATAACTACAGCTGAGAGTATTACTTTTCTGTCACAAAGTCATATCAAAGCACAGAATATTTTCCTTTTTTGAATGGAACTGTCACTTGTCATTTGTTGGGATACCTATTCTTTACAACTCATGCAAAGCCACAATGGGCACCTTGCAAAATGTGTTAATACCTGTCATAAGTGCACAAACACAGCATTAAGACAAATGTATACAGTATGCAACTATCCATATATATTTTTGAAAAAATTATAGAAAAGAATTGGAAACATTAGTTTAAATGTATGTGCATTTCAATCTATCAACTGTTTTTAACTTAAAGAAAGTATTCTAAAATAACTATAACTTTATGAAGGTTTTTGAACAAGCACACATAATATAGTGATGACGATTCATAGAGGCTGGCTGCTTTCAAAAAATTATTCATAATAACAAGCAATTATCAAAGCCAATGAAACAAAGGATTCTGTTTCACATTTAGCTGAAACCCAGTTGTCTCTCGCAACATCCCAGACCCATCTGCTGGAGATCTGTGGGGGAGAAAAAAAACAAAGTACTAACAAATTGATGAAAACAGTACGTCTGTGTCTAGACTGGCCAGTTTTTCCAGAAAATCAGCTGCTTTTCCAGAAAAGCTTGCCAGCTGTCTACACTGGCCGCTTGAATTTCCACAAAAACACTGACGATCTCATGTAAGATTGTCAGTGTTCTTGTGGAAATACTATGCTGCTCCCGTTCAGGCAAAAGTGCATTTGCGGAAAAGCGTCCGTGCCAATCTAGACGCTCCGTTCCGAAAATGCTTTTAACAGAAAACTTTTCTGTTAAAAGCATTTCCGGAAAATCATTCCAGTCTAGACATAGCCTACATGTTTAAGGAAGTATTTTTCAGATTATAACTTTAGAACATGTAGCATTATATAGAGCTAGGGTGGACAATAATTTTAGGAGGGCCAGGACACATCCCATGCTCCCCTGCCCACAGACCCTGATTGGCCTGGGAGAAGGGAGGCTTTATCTGCAATGCTTACTCAAACAACTCTTATGCCCGTTTCACGCTGACCAGCAGTATTAATCTGCCCTGGTGAGGTGACTCTCCTATAGTCCATTAAGTGAGACACAGTAGCTGAGCTCTCTGTTCCTGTGAGTTCCAAGAGGTAGCTCACCCTAAAGCAATGCACACCTGGACCATTTAGAATATGGTGGTAGGCACAACAGGACCCCAAACGTGTTTTGTGAAAATATTATGAATAAGCTAATTTGTTTACTCACATTTATTGCCTGACCAGTCTTTTCCACAATTAGGACAGTTACTAAGTACTTATAGCGATCAAAGCCCATGTCTTTGACAGCTGTTAATATTTCTTCTGAGATTGAAGAACACAAGAAGATACTGGTGTCACCATTATAATTGGTTTCTTGAAGTCTCTGCTATCAAAAGATTTTTTTTTAAATTGTAATCTCTGTTTTAACAAGCTTTTGTATAAAAGCTATACAGTTATAACTGGCTGGCAGCTGGTTACTTCTAGCCGCAGACAGTGCTCCACCCCTACTCCCAACCCACCTACCATGGTTCTGGAAAATCGTTATAATGTCCTAGATATGAGAAATAAGGAATCATACCCTAAGGAGGAGGAGGAAAAGCCATGTAACCTCAAGTCTGGGAGGTCTGCAGCCACCATTGCAAGAGGAAATATAGGGTAATGGTGGTTGGAGACTCTCTTTTGAGGGGGACGGAGGCTCTGATCTGTCACCCTGACATGACATCCCAGAAGGTATGCTGCCTGCCAGAGGCCCATATCCAAGATATTACAGAAGGATTGTTGAGGATCATCTGGCCCCCTGACTACTATCCCATGCAACTCATCCATGTTGGCATTAATAATACTGCCAGGTGTGACCTTGAGCAGATCAGAAGTGACTACAGAGCTCTGGGAGTACAGATGAGGGAATCTGGAGTGCAGATGGTGTTCTCTTTGATCCTTCTGGTCAAAGGTAGGGGGCCAAACAGAGACAGATGTATCCAAGAGGTGAATGTCTGACTGCAAAGATGGTGTCACCAGGAGGGCTTTGGCTTCCTTGATTATGGGGTTCTGTTCCAGGAAGAAGGACTGCTAAGCAGAGATGGGCTCCTTCTATCAAGAAGGGGAAGCAAGTATTTGCATACAGATTGGTTAATCTACTGAGGAGGGCTTTAAACTATATTTGACAGGGGCAGGTGAGCAAAGTCCACATGTACGTGTAAAACATGGAGACTTGGAATATGAGTCAGAAATTGGGATGGGACATGAGCTATAATAGCAGGGAAAAAGGAGAAACAAGGAAGAATCGGGGGCACAAAATCAGTATCTTAATTGTCTGTAGACAGCACTCCCTCCTTCCTGTCCTTCACTCTTTTCACTCCCCCCTCTTTTTCTTGGCGGGGGAAATCTTTTTACTCATGAACAAGCACTTGAAGAAACTTCAATTTTCATCTTCACTGCTGGTGCTCAGCAAGTGCTCTACAAAAGATATTTATCTTACACGATAGAGCCTGGGAAGAGCATATGGATGTATGTATTAGGATGTTAGCATTGCATTTGCTTATTAAGCCTCCAATTCTGCAAACACTTATCAAGAGATTGGTGCTGCTCCATTGGTGCTAGTGACCAATATGCTTAACTGTATAGTAACTTTGAAATAGTCCCAACATTATCTTTGAGGGACTAGGATCTAACTTTGCACTAAAATTAAATCTCTTACATACAGACAACTTAAACAAATAAAATTACTCTACCGTTAGTATTTGTTGAGCTTTGTTTCTTACTAAATTAGCTTCGAATTTCCTATAAGGCTCCATTTTGTATGTATTGGCATATTTTATTTTTGCCATGCTAGCTTTCAATGAAAATATTTCACTTTTCCCAAACTCTGCAAAAGACTCATTGTCCATTGGTTCCATACCGTGAACTTCATGGCTTGAACTTCTCATTCTCTCTTTTACCACCTGTGCATGCTTTAAAAAAAAAAAAAAAAAAAGCTCAGTACCATGCTTTTGTACTTGATTGTTAGAAGTTTTTTAATGACACGTCAAAAAGGTATCGCTAGAGGGAAAGACTTGAATTTTATTTGGAATCATTTTTAGGATATATCTGAAAAAAAATTGACTGAATTTTTCATATCTGTTATGGATAACTAAGGAGTGCTGCTTGCTATCTGATGCTTCTGGGAAAAGGGCACAAGCTATTCATCTCAGCTTTGATTCTGCTTCCACTGAAGCCTATGTACATTTAGCAGTTGACTTTAATGCAGGCAGAATAGGGCACTCAGGGCAATTTTGCAGAGAAGAAACCCTCAAACAACTGGTCAATAAATCCTTTTCACTTTCTTTCAAAAGTGTTGGAAGGCACAATCTAAATTAGGTATGTCAGAGACTCGTCCACTTTTTGATAAGCTCTGTGGGGGGTAGGGGAGGTAGAGGCACAGCAGGAAACTGTAGGAGAGGGTACTGAAGCAGTCTCCGCTTCTGCTGTGATTCTGCTTTTGAAACATACATTTCAAAAACAGAAGCTCTGCAGAGAACTTGGGGCCAGCGGGGGACTTATGCTCCCTTTTGAAATGTACAAGAGCCCCGCCAGGACTCTTGTACATTTCAAAAGCTCAGGTGCTGCAGGGAGTGTGGGGCTAGCAGGAGTCCCCCTCTGGTCCCATGTTCCCAATGGGGCTTCCTTTTGAAATGTACAAGAGCCCCGCCAGGACTCTTGTACATTTCAAAAGCTCAGGTGCTGCAGGGAGTGTGGGGCTAGCAGGAGTCCCCCTCTGGTCCCATGTTCCCAATGGGGCTTCCTTTTGAAATGTACAAGAGCCCCACTGGCAAGAGAAGTCCTGAATTGTCCAGAATCCTGAGAGAATCCCCCATCCACCACCAGAGGAGTACCAGACAGGGACTAACTGCCTGGCCAACCTGAACAGTTTCAGCCATGCT